AAAAAAAAAAAAAACAAAAATAAAACAACGTTCACCTCCTTTTCCAAATATCGCGCTCGCATTGCAATTTGATTCTCTTTTTGACGGCGTGCATCTCTTGAACGTTTGGCAGCAATATTATTCTTTCGGCGACGAGCCCAATATTTGTCATCTTTGAGTTCATCTGGAACAAATTGTTTACGTGATTTTTTGATCATGGGTTGCGGTTTGAGCTCTTCATCGGAAAATGCTCTAGTGCGCGGGTCAAAATCCCGCCCCGATGATGCAAAAGAAAATGCTGGAATATCAAATACTAAATGTTAACAATGTTTCACAAACTGTCCATTGTAAACTAAAACAAATTTGAAAACAAAAAAAAAAAAAAGAAAGCAAATTCAAAAAAAAAAAAAAAAAAAAAAAAATGAAAGAAATGAAAACATCCTAAGCCAGAAATTAAATATAGTAAATTTAAAACAAATTTTTAAAGCAAGATAAGAGACTACGCTCATTCGATAAACTAAGTATTTAGTTAGCATCAGCGCCCTCATTATCAAAATGCTGAGAACTTGAAATATGTTGTTTAAGCAACATTTGGCAAACTAAGCAAAGTGTTATGGACACAAATTTCTTCAATACTTTTTGAGAAATTTCTCACATTTTCCATATTAATGATTAACATTTAGCATTTGATAAGATACTTAATTGAATTACAAACTATTTGGCAAAAAAAAAAAAAAAATAAAATAAAAAATAAATAAATAAATAAACAATACCGCAAGTTAGTTGTAGGGTTTTACGAATTACTTTTTTTTTCCTTTACGTTAAATTCGTGTCCATACCATTTGTTTTGTGTGAGTGTTATGTAGGTAGGTCTTATTGCCCTCTTAAAATTTTAAGGCAAAAAATAAAACCATGTATATATATATATATATATATATATGTATATATTTAAATATAAATATATATGTATATATACATATAAATGTTTTAAATAATAACCAAACTTGTTTCCATAATCAAACGATATCAACATGTTTTTTTGAGAACGGCGGCAGGGACATATCGAACGAATTTTGTGAATTCAAAACATATAACTACAAGACGGACATAAATTTGATTGTTTCTCTCAAAACTTTTTTCACATTTCACATTTTCGCTGAAATGTTTCCGCAACAAAAATGTGTCGTCTTATAAATTTATGTCTTCAATTTGTCAATTTTCATGTGACAACACGTTGTTATCGATTATTACTCACTTGACTCAGCCGGTGATGGTGGATTTAAGGTATCCGGACTTATACAATCTGACGGTGATGGTGATCGTTCACGTTTTGTTGTTATATGTCCGAGACCTAACGACAGACCAGCTGCATGGCTCAGTGAATCCGAACGATGACTCAAACTACTTGAGTGTCCCAAATGAGTGCCGGGCAAGCCATCAGGTATATTATTCTCCGATAAGAATTCATCCAAATCGGCATACTATAATTAATTGATTTATTATATTAATGCTTTCGTTTTACTAAATATGAATCGCGCATTTTAAGTAATATATTTCAAGTCTTCTTTAGCTCATACTCATACACAACAACAAATCCACCAAATTACATTTATAAAGCATGTTTAATTGGAAATAAATGAAATAAAGCAAATGATTTCGATGAATTTTTTTTGCTGATTAGCACACATGAATAATAATTGGTATCCTCTTGGAAGGAAAACGAAGTTCGTCCGCTCAAATATACGATGAGAAATGTTTTCCCTTAAAACATTTAAGATCATTTAAGATCATTGGTTTTTAAAATCTTCTCAAAGCATTTTCAAAAACACAACATAGGAGGATTTCTCTGTATACAAAACATAGGTATGCCCCAAGATATATATATATATATATATGTTTATTCTTTTCCATTATTTTCTTTTTCAGTATGACCAATCATTCAGGGGATGTCGCCTATACGCGCATCACGACGATGAACAGAAAAAAGTGGCGAACGAGAAACAGAAAATGGTATATTCACTATCGCTCGAAACGAATACGGCTTCGACAGCATCGAGATTTGAATTTGCGAACGCCGACTTGATAAAAGCAACTTCTATCTACTCGGTTAGGCGACAGCTCCGCATTAACGGATAACATTATAATGAGAAACACTAATAGGACGAAGTCCACAATGTCTAAACATAGATCTATTTGTCATTTTTATTCTTTAGCAAGTGAAAACACAAAAGAATTTATTGGACTGATCCAAATGCTATAAATACCTAGAGGCTAACAATATAATACACACAAACACCCACACACGCACACACACGCACTCTGGCAGGGATTATACGAAATATTGGAGCGCCTGGAATTGGTCGATTTCAATTGATATTCAAACGGATGAGATGCGGAAAGGAGAGGTCCAAAAGACCGCCCTTAGGAAGGAGGAGCGCTTAACTTCATGTAAAAGATAAAAAGAAAAACATACCAATCTAGCAAAATGGACCAAACGACGGCATGGTAAGGCGAAATACTATCTCACGCAGGTCCTTACTGGTCATGGTTGCTTGATAGCTCTTGACGATGTACGAGCTATGTAGACACAGAAGAATATATGGAGGATGCGATATTCAATTGCCGAAAATTTTTGTCGTTTGATCGACGTAGGTGAACTTCAGGGTGCCTCTCCAGGTGGCTGGAGAGGCAGCGGGTGGAGAGAAAAGGTAGTGGAAATGGAAGGATCCACTACGGTCCCACCAGGCGTGTAGCACTAACTGTAAAAAGTCAATATTACCTAAGCGTGATCGATGAAGCGTGCATGTGGGGGCAGTTTAATCTCATAGTCGTCATGGGTGGCGAATCGTCCATGCTGTTGGCACCGGCCAGTAGCAAAAAGCAAAAGAAAAACACAAACGCTCAAAATTTTGTAAAGCGCATGTATTAACAATATAAGGACCTGAATTTTTCTGGTAACGTTTTTAGAAGACATATTGAAAGTTATTGAACTTATTGGCGAACTGAAATTACGCTTTGTAAAAATTTTCTTTATATTAAAATTCCATTTACATTATTATCGCGGCAGTACTTGCCTTAAGAGATAATGCTTTCTTTATTCTGTTTATTTTTGTTCTCTTAAATGGTTTCTTAAATACGATCTTGCGATTCAATTTCTCCAAATCAATTTAATATTTTGAAATACTATTACTTAGCGGTTCGTGTTGACAAATTTAAAAAAAGAAATAAGGCATCATTTGCAGGTTGGTCACCAAAATGGTCCGACGCAATCCATTTTGAGTAGAGTTTGTTCTTGGACCAAAACATGTCAGTCAACACGTTTTAAACTTTGTGATCTATAGACTGAAGATAAAAATACATGCACAGACGCGAAACAGATATACCGATAGATGGATGGACATATAAACTGACAAGCCAAAATTAGTTCAGAGGATGATTCGGATTGTGTCTGTTTCATAGGCTAATTGGTGGGCCTGGTTTAAGTCCTTCTGACTTTATATACAGCTTAACTTAATACGCAATCAATACAACCTGCCTTTCAAATTATATCGCCATTTGTCTGACATTTTTCTAATGGAAAGGTGCATGTCCCCGAACAGCGAAAATGAAATGCCTGAAGTGACCTTTTGCTGACCACACTTCGTTATCCTTTCAAATTGCGAACTACTTCGTTCAAGTTCGTAATTATGTGGATGTAATTATCTTCTATTAGGCACGGTCGAAGGGCAAATCGTATTTATGAGCGATTTTAATTAATTTTGGGCACCGATGTAAAAATCTCTTGAAATAACGTTTACTTTAAAAATTCTATCAACTTGTCAAGTCACTTTGAAGTTATATTGGTTATCGTAGCAATCGAAATATTATTTTTGAATATCTAGAAGTTATCAAAGAGGTGCTTGTCTATTTAATTCTCTAAATTTTATAAATTTTTTCATTTAAAACTCATAAAGTGACGAAAATACCACTGAGTATGAGTAAAATGAGGCACAACTACAATCAATTTTATTCCAGTTGCATATGCATTGAAGAAGACATTGGTTGTGCCGTTGGAAATACTGAAAACGATTTTTTGCTCTTTCATTTTAAAGTATCAAAGATGTTCTCGATCAAAATGTGTGCACACAACATACAGAAATTTCACTGATACTAATTCAGATTTTCTTCAAAGATTGATTTAAATTTTTCTTGGGCCTAATTTAAAAAAGAGAATTATATATAGCATCCGAAAACTTTTTTATAGAATTTGTTTAGTTACTGTCACAAGTAATTTTAAAAAGTTTTATTTACAATTTTGTTTGCAGAGTGCGAGACGAAGCATAATATTTGAAGCAACATTTCAATCGAAATCATTCACCGGAAACAAAGGTAATCCTTGGTTTTAACGCATATTTTGCATTTTTGCATTTTCTTTTTGAAATGTTGCTGCAAAAGAAAATGTGCAAATTAAAATGAAACGTTTTGTGATGAAAAGAAAAGCAAACGCATGTATCTAAACATGTACAAATATAAAAAATGCATTTCAGCAGCACTACAAAAGCAATCTACACCTTCAGGCATTCACTCGTTTCTGGTGACGTAAAAACGTATATTTATAAGATGGAGCGTTTTGGTAGCAGTAGTTCAAACAAAAAAAAAAATCATCTAATCTACGATTCAGTTTAACAGTCTGTTTAGAAGAAGGAACGTTTTCACTACAGTAACGTATCAAGGAAAAGATCCGCTAAAGATATCTACGCAAAATTAGGTATATGCAATGTATCTGCATACATATCTGTACATATTCGTTAATTATATACTGGCAAGCAATAGTTATCTGCACATGCCAGTATCAATCTAATATATTCGTTTAGCTTCCGTTCGATATATGTAGAGAAACAATTTTAATTAGTAAACATTGCACATCCTTATGGGAATAATAAAATGGTCAAGTGGTTATAATCTGTCTTATGTCAGCGGCCGCTTAACTCTATCTCAGGCAAATTCGCAAAGATTATCTCCTCCATCTGAACGCAACAAAATTTGCGACGATTTAGGAACGTGTGGAATATAATTCTAACTCAAAGTAAATTTTCGCGAGAACATTGACGTATTGCTTTGTGTATGTCTAACACAAGTTTCGTAGACATTTCGGCCTTGCATATATTATACATCTCGATACGTACGTAAACAAAAGTCACTAATCTATTCTCAAAAAGGATCTGTTCACAGAAGAATAATTAATTGTCTTTGTGTTCATTTTTGACTCATTTTCAAAGCGTAATAACTCTCCATCTTATGCACTTACGTTTTCGCATGATATTCGTTTAGTTTGTGCGTGTGAATGCGTGCGTACGCTTGTGTATGTGTGTTTGTGTGTATGTGACTGCTAAGTGAAGTGGAAATTGGAATTTTCTAAACACGCTATTGACCGGCACCAATAGCATACACGGTTTGCCATCCGCGCTGCCCAGGTATTAATCTATTCGCACACAGACTTCATCGACCACCCGCGGAGCGAACGGTAAGCATTACGGGACATTGTCTAGAACACTAGAGCATTTTTCCCGACGAAATCTTCCTTATGATGTGATTACCACTGCCTCTTCATCTATTTGCTACTTGACAGCAGCCACGACAGCTATGACATGACAAAATGAATAATCGAGTGATTCTTAGTTAGTCACATGATGTTCGAGAGGAATTTCGTTATCGCTTTCATACGCCAACATACGCTTCGAAAGATAGTTCTTTATAAAAGCGAGTATACACTTTGGATCCTGAAAGTAAAGCTGCCGTCCGCCCAACGACAGTGCAGCATCCCTTATACTGCCCTTTTAGAACTGGCGTCTAATGCTAGTTCCATCACATGCTTAATAACTCCAGACCGTGATTTACTAAAACCGTTTGGATTATCCGAAGCGTCCCTCTTTGCCAAATCTGTTCATCGACCTGGTAGACCGATACAGAAATGGTCCGAATAGTGTCTTACTTGTTTTCAACATAAGCTTTTTTATTTTCTATTTATCACGAAATTGTTGAAGCACCTTAGCGAAAATTTTTGCTCTTCTTCAGATCGCTGCGGTTAGCGCCGTATTTAAAATTCCCCGCGAGTCAGGAGCCTTTGTAACTATTGGCAGTAGGCCGTTTCCATAGTGATTACTAAGAGTGAGTCAGCTTCTTTGCTCTTGAAGCCCACAGTAAAAGAAGGCGGTCTCTGTGAGAATAGTTTTGAGACTATTCCTTAAGATATATATATATTTTTTTTGCTTCGGGACAAGGTATATGCCTTTCTTCAGCGTTAAAAACCATTTCTGGATAAATACGATGGAATATTTTTTCTCTGCTTATTCTTATCATTTTCTTTACAGAATTTTTTCAAGTCGCTGAGGCGATATCTATAAAGAGTGAAATGATTAATGAAGCATTGGCAGGATCAATAGGTCGCTGTCTTTAGACAGTCTTTTTGGCCGGCATGCCTCAGTCAGGGGTCCTTTTATCTTAAACGCGTCTTCTATCACATTAAGGTTGTTCTCATCGAAGGTTCGGTGAACTGATATCACCTCTGTTGGAGTCCGCCAATAGGACATCACTGATCGGTTTTAAGCTTCAAGACACGATCTTTTGCATTGCTAACTTTGCTATCACATTCGATTGCTAAGGCATTAAAATCTTTTGCAATTATGATTGGAGATTCGTCGAGAGATCCGATCTTGATTTTATTGGTCTCGTGAAGTGCAGTCGTATTTTCAACGACCAAATGAATATAGGTAGGTAGATGGGTATATATGTGTATATATATGTATGTATGTATGTATGTATGTGTAGATGTATAAATAAGTAAATAAATATATGTGCGTGGGCTTGTGTCTGTGTGTATGTTGTTTATAAAATGTACTTGTACTATATCTCTCGTTGTTGAATGTATTATAAGTATATGTAAACATTTACAAATGAACACTTGACGCAGCCACTACAAGGCGATTGATGACGATACTAACTTGTGTTACCTTAAGGTCAGCATCGTAGGGCAGAGTTTTCTCCCATAAATTTGGGCCCAAAAAGGCAGTTTGAGCCTCAACATTCCAGAGATCACCTTCTTCTTTGTATTTATCATCGGGACAAATGACTTCTTTGCTATTCGATGTGGATTTACCTGCAAATAATAAAAGCAAATTTTTTTTCTATTAGAGGAAATTTCAAACACATTATGTTCATTTAAAAAGTTTACTATGACTTTATGCAGTTTATGAAACCGAAGGCAGTCATGAATTTTACTTCAAATTGAGTTAAACAAAAAAAAAAAAAAAAAAAAAAAAAAATCGTAATAATCAGTATCTGCTTATTCCATAAAAGAAAATATTCAGAACGGAAAAGTATTACTGCGGGAATCTAGCGGTAAATTTTACATCTAAATTAAATCAATTGCAGTGAACTGTCTAATAAAAATAAAAAACGAAAAATAAACTAGAAACGACCCGATTGATTTTCAATTTTCAAAAAAAATATAAGAAAAAAGAAGACATTTAGCCGCAAAACCGCTATAGGAGGATGTCAGCAGCTTGTATTTTCAGCCTGAAATTAAATAAATTATGGAAGATTCGGTCCAGTCCCTTGTTGTTCAAGAAAAATATAACAATCACCCGCAATTATAATACAATTAAAAGGGATTTATTCGGCCCGATCAACCCCATAGAGATGAAGAAACTTTTTCAGGAGGCATTACAAAAAAATTCTAAAGAAGAAGCAACGAATTTGAGCCCCAATTTTCGCATGAATTCACCGCTGATGACTGCATACTTCCCATTTATATATAAGCGTATAATTGGCAGCGAAGGTGGCATTATTGTTCCAGAGGTGCGTTCTTTAAGCTCAATTTTCTTTATTCAGCCTCCGCAAAAAGCTTTTACTTCTTTATTGGGAGAAAATATTTATGAAAAAAATGACGGAAATACAAACGATATAGATTTTAACGAATGGTTTAACGTTGCTGACACACCCATGACGTTCGATTTTCCCGAAATTCGCCACGACTCAGTGGGCGGGCCTGAAAATTGCCCAGCGGCTTCGGAAGAAACTTTAATACGAAAGAAAAACCAAAAGACATAAGCAAATCATATCATGCATTATTCACTTCATGCATCACTGATGACCGCTCTGAACGGACACCGATGCCTCCTCAATATATTTTAATCATTTTATTGATATTCGCTATTCTATTTTCAATCAAGATTTACGTAACTTTTTAGCTCATTAACGAAACGATATTTACGTTTTCGCATTAAAATTTTTACAATTATATATATATATATATATATGTATATATATATATATACATGTATGTACATCTATATATAGATATACATATTATAGATATGTATATATATATATGTGTGTGTGTGTGCATGCATATATTTGAATACAAAGATATATATATATATATATATATATATATGTTTATTTTATAAGTACACATATACATGTATGATAAAATTCATATATGTGAGTATGTATATATATGTATATATATATATATATTTATATATGCAGGTAACATATATAAATGAGTGCGTGTGTGCGAATATTATACATATATGTTTTGTATTTGAAATGCCTGTATATACCTTTTAGATTATAATAATTACATCATATCCTAATCTAAGAATCGGATTCCAATCATTTACTTTTGCAAAATTTTATAAAAAAATTCAAAAATTTTCGTCGTGAAAAAGCAATCAATAAATTCTCTAGTTTTTCTCACTAGAGGCAACGAACACACGTGGTTTTAATATCTCGTATTTTCATTGGCTTCTTCTTTTTGGTGGGATCGTGGCTAGAGCCACGAGTGCACTACTGCAAGCTGGACGTGGGAATTGCGTTATTCAGATAATTGTGTTATAATCATCAAGTAAGAAACACTCGACGTTCGATTCAAACTTTTTTCACTATATATTCGACTGTTTGCTTGTCCGTAAAATTTCGAACGCAAATTTTCGTTACATGAGGTTACATAAAATTGAACAACATGATAAAAGAAAAAAAAAAAACATACAAAAATTTGTTGAAACAAATGAAAAGCGGAAGACATTTTCGTTTAGTTGTGTGCAATGAATAAATAGAATGGATTTTTATTCGGCTTTTGTGATCAATCAACGCCCAATTCCTTGCGATCAATTTTTTTGCAATAGGTTTTATGGTTTGCGAGCATATATGTCAAATATTGCATAATAAGTGAAAGATGAAATTTTCGTCGACTATTTAAGATCCCGTATTGGTCACATATGGGAGGAAGTCAAGACAATTATTTTATATATATGTGGGCAATATCTATCACAACAATTCTCACACTGTTTACGGGCTTTGCATGCATAGGCATATTATCACCAGTGTGAAGTGTACCTTAGGTGTGCGCACATTAGAGACAAGGTTACATATAAATAGACGATAGAGATAGAGATACAGGATAGAGTGGAATAACAATAACAATAATTTCACAATTTTGGACGAGTGCCGATAAGCCTTTTTGCATTTTCAAGGTATGTAAATGTATAATATGTGCAGGAATGTATTTATTTAAAATAGTTTTATTGAAAATTATGAAAAAAACTTTTCGTCCTTGAAAACGGCTTAGAAAGAAAACAATCATGTAACAATTTGATGATACGATTTACATTCGTTTTGAAGTTTGCGTTGCGACGCCATGAGCCTCTGCTATACAGCTGCTATACGCCTCGCAGACTATTTTGATTGTCTATTCTTGCCGTTTCTCCATTACTTGTGAATTTGTTTTGAAAAATTATGAAACAACGAATAGCAGAAGCATCTATAGTCTCATTTTTCCTTTTATCATTTTATTCGCTATGCTTAAGGAAGTATCAATTAATCCTGTTCGTAACCAAAGTGCAGATTGTCAACTTCGCACTGTTTCAACTTGCCATTGAAGGAAAGCAAAGATTGCTTATAATATTTATGGTATATTTATCAATGCAGTCGTTGGCATTATAGATTGCGACTATTACTGAAATTTTTTAATTCTTTTGAATACTTTGAGATGGAAACTCCTTCAATAAAATATTTTCCTATGTACACTAAGAGAATAGCAAGCACGCTAATTGTAATCTGAAGCAATTGGAAAATTTCATTTCTTCTCAACAGATGGCAATATTTTGGTAACACCAGCCAGCAGTACTTGCAGTGCGCTGGCAAAATGATAGCCCGCATCAATTATTTAAATCAAACATTTTGATATTTGTTAATTCACTTGAAAGTGTGTGTGTGTGTTTTGAAAGTGAGCAAAAATTTGCAAAAAAAAATTCGCTATATTCTATAATAATATTTCGGCTAAAGGCAGCAACGCGCGGTTCAGAGGCTTGAGAAAAAATTCGTGATATTGCTTAATAAAAGTCTATGGCACACACAAATTTTTCTCCCTTTGTCACTTCACAAATTTCGACATTAGAGACGCGCGGCCTGCTCTGGACGATTGAAACGATAACTTTCATGAAAGTCCTTAAAAAAATTCAGTTTGAAGGAGATTGGCACTATTCATTTTCTGTTATTCCTATCGAATATTAAACATTGGTTACGACATGAACCACGAAATTACGCACTCCTTCGATGAATATCAATGAATACTTTCCGAAACAGATGCATTAAACTGAACGTTTGAGAACATTTCCTATTCATCCGTTCATTAATCGCTCTAGGTGTCTACCTATTTAATAGTCCTGGCATTCATCTACCTATCTTAAGGTCTATTCGTCCGCGTATGTATATGCTTGCTTCTGCCATCTGCCATTTAATCACATTATCGGCCTGTGTTGTTAATCTGCGAGCTATGAGTTAATATACATCTTGATCTGTGATATGGGGTACAAGGCTGGTGAACATGGTGGAATTAAGCCTTTACAGAAACAATTGCAATGCAATTGAATAGCTCTCTTTCTGCCTGTCCGTCCGTCCTTCCGTGCAGATTCAATCGTCCTAAACTTTATCAATCTGACCATAATAATGTTTATCCTTTCGTTCACCTGGTCACCGGACAGTCTATCCCTCTATCGGTGCACTCATATAATCATCAGCCATCTGCTTTTCAATTCTTCTACTTTAACGTTGATTGGTTAACCTATCCATCCGCACGTGTATCTCTGTATTCGTTTGCTTAAATATTTGAAATTTACTAATGGATAAGCATTTATAGATGGCCATAAGTCGCATAATCACGTCAACACTATTGTTTCATTATTTACGCTAAGAAAATGAGCATGAAGAGCTTAGATTCGCTTTATATCTATATACGCTTCAAGGCTGAGATAGGCAAATTGCTAAGAGTCTTCCTGGTTTTTCATACAATTTAAGAAAGAATGTCGGTAGTAATAATCACTTGATTGCAGGCATGTGCTGGAATATGTCTTTTTTTTTTTTTTTTTGCTTTTTTTTGCTTTTTTACAACGCTACGACACTTAACGCGTTTTAAAATTAAACACAAAAAGCCCTCCATATTTACTCACTTTAATTCTGTAATTTCTTTTTGTTTTTCTTTTTACAAATTTCTGTATTTCGACTGATATTAGTTTTTTGTTGTTCTCGTTAATATTTTAGTATTCTTTGCTTAATTTTTTAGTTTACATTGTAAAAAGTGTACGGCTTGTCGTTCTTTTTTTTTTTTTATTTACTTGTTTTTATTTTTCACTTCACTATTGAGAAATGATGGGAATGCTAATAGCGTTGTACCGTTCGTAGTTAAGTAATGGAAAAGGGAAATGGCTTTCTTCTTTTTTTTTTTTTTTTGGGTGGACAAAATCCTGATCGCCATGTTGTAGTCCTATTTGCATGTTTTTGTTTTTTTTTTTCTTTTTGTAATTTCCGCCTTAGTATGATTTAAGAAAAATGTAGATATTAATTAAAAAATTTGCACGTTTGTCATTAACAGCTTTATTTTGAGGTTATGATCCCTAAGTCACAAGTTATCACAGAGAAGAAGAAGAATGCATTTTATTGCTACAGTTTTTGTGATTTTGGTCTTTCGGGGTGCGAGTGATAATAAAACCCTTACAATAGATTGTTAAGTCACGAAACCATAAACCAAGACATGCCTGGTACTTTGAGACGTCTCGGACGACGCGAGCGTAAAAATGTTGTATTATTCTTGGTACAAAATGAACTCGACTTTCTTGTAAAATTGCATGCCCGGTCAATACAATAAGAAATAGATCGAATTTTTGGAAAAACAAAAAAAAGTTCCACATATATAAAATAATTTTTATGAAAATGCTTTCGAACCAAGTTGCGACAAGCAAATTTAGGATTTCCTTATATATATATATATACGTTTCTTAAATGGTTGGGTATTCAAGATTCATTCATTCCGTGTAAAGCTTTCTTACTATTTTTTTTTTTTAATTTTTCTTTTTACTTTTTTTTTAATTACTTTATTATTATTGTTATTAGTGTTACAATATTTTGTTTTCAAGTACTGACTGGCGACTTGATAACAAACGCATACACATACATGTAAATATACATATACGTACATACGCTCAGTCTAACTGTACATTTTTTACACATTGTTTTTTTTTTTTTTTTTTTTCTCTTTTTGTCTAAATTACAACTGATTAAACATTTAGCACTTGTTTGTTAAGCACGTGTAAGGAAATCTTCTAATATTTACAAGGCAGTGCAACGTTTTCGCTATGTGTGTATACACACATAAGTGTAAATATCTGAATCGTTAATATTTTGTACAAGAAATCTATTACGTATTTCTTAAGAATATTACACTTTTTCATATATTATTACCTTTAATATACTTTTATTATATATATCTTATTGTTTATTTATTTATTTTAATTTTACATATCTGTGTATATATGCATGTATATACATATATATATATATATACTTTTCTTTTTTTCATTAGTTGAAAGTTTGTATCGCAAATTATGTAACTCTCAACTAAGTATATATATGAGTGTATTTGTTTTTCTACTTTTAAACGTAAACTATTATTATTTTGATGACAATTAAATTAAGATTTAAACTTAAGAGTTGTTATATGTACACATTGTTTCTTATCTAAAAATTTAATTGTATACCGGTTATAACTGCTGTTACATATATTCAAGTATAAAAAATTAATTTTTTTTTTTTTTTTTTTGCTTTAAGCTAAATATAACCTTCTCTTTATTATTGCAGTTTTATTATTATTATTATGTGTAATTCAAGAACTCATCATTTATTAGATCCATTTAATGATAATCATATGTTTTTCCTTCTGCTCTACAAAATGAAATAAAAAGATGTAACA